CATGTGTATGCTATGAAGAAGCTTAAGAAATCAGAAATGCTTCGTAGAGGGCAGGTATACATGTCTCTGGTCTGCCACATGAGATCACTGTGGTTTTGCATATTATATTTATTGTGAGTTGGTTTCCTTTTGCTTTTAGGTGGAGCATGTGAGAGCTGAAAGGAATCTGCTTGCCGAGGTTGACAGCAATTGCATTGTCAAACTCTACTGTTCTTTCCAAGATGATGAGTATCTTTATCTCATAATGGAATATCTTCCTGGTGGAGATATGATGACTTTGCTTATGAGAAAGGATACCTTGACTGAAGATGAAGCCAGATTTTATGTTGCTGAGACAGTTTTGGCTGTTGAGTCTATCCACAAGCACAATTACATTCACAGGTCGACAAATAAATGCATAGTGGTATTATTGAGTTGATTAGTGAAATACTATTAACCTTATGAGTGTTAAATGTTGCAGGGATATCAAGCCTGACAACTTGCTTCTGGATAGATGTGGACATTTGAGGTTGTCAGATTTTGGACTATGTAAACCTTTAGACTGCAGTACTCTCCAAGAACAGGACTTTTCAGTCAATACAAACAATGGGGCACCGAGTGATGAGCGCCATGTCACTCCCAAACGTACGCAGCAAGAGCAACTAGAACATTGGCAGAAGAATCGGAGAACACTTGTAAGCCATCAGCCATTATCTTTTGAAAAAATGTTGTCCTGAATCAAAATAATTTTTTGTCTGCATCTTCTATGTGGTAAATTATTTGTTTTCAAGTTTAGCTTGCAATTATTTATGCCTCAGATATTTTCACCCAAAGGTTAAGGCAGTTATGAGCTTTAAGGCATGATTTGTTGGCGAATGTCGGACAAGTTTTCTGTACTTGTTGATTCTTGTTATTGCTGCAGGCTTATTCTACTGTTGGTACACCTGACTATATTGCTCCAGAAGTTTTATTGAAGAAAGGTTATGGCATGGAATGTGATTGGTGAGTAGTTTAGTTATGTGCATTTTACTATTTGTATTTGGCATAAGCGTGGAAATGATATTCATCTTTGAGCAGCATATGGTGTTATCTTATTTTGACTTATTGCTATTATGTTCTGAAGGTGGTCACTTGGAGCCATCATGTATGAAATGCTTGTAGGGTATCCGCCTTTTTATTCAGATGATCCAATGTCAACATGTAGGAAGGTAATTGAGATATATTGGTAATTTTATTTTTTTAATCACAGTACTAATTTATGTAGGACCTCTTTTTCTACTGAAATTTTCAGCAATCTTATAGCATTTCTCTGAAATATTGTTTTCAGCGATCTTACAGCATTTCTCTGAAATATTGTATATTAGAAGCCTGTTGAAGCTCTCTCCTTCCTATTCTGTCAAGATTGTTAGTTTTATTTTGTTATTTGACTTGTCTCCAGATTTTTACTTTCTTTTGATATCCAATATCCATTAAACAGAAACTAATTATTTTAACAAGGTCTTTTTTGGCCTTCACTCTAACAAGGTTGAAGTTGGAAACTATTGTGATAAGAGTAGGGATCCACTTACATACAAGTTTTATACATCAAACGTATACAAAATCTTGATTATTCATCTCTCTACTTCTAGTAGTTGAGATTTAGCATGACTTTTTAGATGAAAAAGATAATTATTTTTAATAAATATAATAAAAAGTAAATAAATCTCAACCATTGAAAGTGGAGAGGTAAATAGTCAAGATTTTGTGTAAATGTGGTGCGTAAGACTTGTGTATAAGTGGATTCTAACTCATCTTAAACCTTAGAATTTCTGCTTATGTAGATATCTTACTAAACCTTAGAATTTCTGCTTATGTAGATATCTTACTCTGTACAAACTTCTACATGTGTAATTCTTAAAAAATGAAATAAAATAAGATGAAAAAAGGGTGGTATTGAGTTTATTCTGATGAACAACTTGAATGATGTGATCATATTTTCTGTTTTCTGTAGATAGTAAATTGGAAATCTCATTTGAAATTTCCTGAAGAAGCAAAGTTATCTCCAGAGGCAAAAGACTTTATTAGCAGACTCTTGTGCAATGTGAGCCAGAGATTAGGATCCAATGGTGCAGATGAAATTAAGGTGTTGTACAGTTTGTCCTATCCCATATTATCGGATTTTTCAATAAGCTTGTTGCTGATGGAGGTAATTATATCTGCTTCTTAACTCCCCTCTTAGGTTCATCCATTTTTTAATGGCATAGACTGGGGTAAGATATATCAAATGGAGGCTGCATTCAGTCCTGAGGTCAATGATGAGCTGGATACACAAAATTTTGAAAAGTTTGATGAGGTATTGATCTCTCTCAGGTTTGCCAGGGATTTGAATCTGATTGCATGGGCAGTGTTGTAGTTCATGAATCATGATATTTGTTTCCTTCTTGCTTATTTTGTTCCAGTCTGATAGCCATACTCATGCTCCATCAAGAGCTGGCCCTTGGAGGAAGGTAAGCTTACACCAATTTCAGTACATTGTTGAACTCCTATTTTGCAATGAAAGAAAATTGTAAAATAATAGTTGTTCTTTTGCTTTCTTGCTTTCTCTTGGAATAAAATTCTCTGCTTTGATGAATTTGTAGTGTTATTGAATTTCTGTGGTGGCTGTTATTTTATGTTGATATTCTTTAGGTAAGGGTTGTTGCTGTGTCTGTGTTCAATCAAAGTTGCTTTTATGGTGCTTTGTAGATTACAGCTCATGCTTTTCTGCTATCTTATTGAATTGTCTCTGGTCTATGCCATTTATATTAGAGTGGTAGCTTGGCATGGAATCTAATTAGGGAACAAGATCAGGTACCTTAGAACTTATGCTGGAAGCTACTGAAATAAGACACGATTTTAATTGTTAGAAAGTTAATGCAGTTCATTGCTCCCTACATGCTCTAATAAGTGTTGTCTCATTACTTTGTCATCTTGTTATTTTATGGCACTGCTTGCTTTTCAGAACATGACTTTGAAGATTGTAAATCTTCTGCATCTACGCTTGTAATGGCAATTCTGGAAAGAAGAAAAGGAATTTAAATTCTTATTATGCATGCCACTTTGGAACAGGATTGTTAATATAGAACAGGGGAGTGTTATAAGAACTCTAAGGAGGGTTTATTGACTCTGATTCCATGCGTTTCTCTTTATTGTTCATTGTTATGCTGCTTAAAATACTTTTACAGCTGGCATTATGCTTGTCTTCTGCGCCTTGTTCCTTCCCATGTTTGATTCCAAGCTCACTTCATAGTCTTTTCTAAAATTTTCCTCTCTTTTCCTTCTTGCATTTTGCAGATGCTCTCATCTAAGGACCTTAATTTTGTTGGATACACTTACAAGAATTTTGAAATTGTCAATGATTATCAAGTGCCTGGGATGGGTATTTCTCTCTCTTTTATGTAACCAAAATGGTATTTGTTACATAGATGTGGTACAGATGTTGCAATCAAATATTGTGATGTCTGTGGTTTGATGGATGTTTTAGGATATAAAAGTTTACATGATCATGATTGTGTTGCATAGGTTGTATTTGTATGACCTAGAGTATCTTCAATGATGCCCTTACAAGATTATCAACAATCACTAAGATTCATGTTATTTTATTAGGTTCTGGGCAGTGTGAATTGGTTCCTATTTTTAATTAACTGATAGACTTGTTTCAGTTAAATGGTTGAATGGCCTGGCTGAGAAAACTATAGGACTCTTCAAGTTTAGACTATTCAACGTTAGCCCAGTTAGTCCAGTGCCAAAATGTCAGGGGGAGTGAGTATGTGCAGACCTGAAATCGAGTGCTGGCTCCTGCAAGAGACATCCCAACAGAAAATAACATAGAGACATGGATACATGGCTTTACATTATGATGCAATCCTGCCTAGTTCATGAAGTTTACAAGCTTTTGAAGACTAACTGGATGTTACCTCTATGCATTTAAAATTTCTATTTTTTCAGGTTTACAAATCATCTAGTATAATGGTTTTGCCCCTCTAATCTTGCAGCTGAGTTGAAGAAGAAAAACACAAAACCGAAGATGCCATCTATAAAGTCAATTTTTGGTAGTCTTACTTTTTCCCCAACTATTTTTGTTTACAAGCATAGATCTATTTTGTAGTCATGTTCTAGTTCTTTTCTATCCTCATACTAGTTATTAGTCATCTGTCCACAAGTCACATATCCTCATACTCTTTTGGATTCTTTTGGGGTAGATGGTGAATCAGACACATCAGAGACGTCTGACATGGGCACTAATGATGCTGAGGGGAGCTTTTCTAGTCAATCATCTTCAAAGCAGAATGGATCCCCCTAACTTGGAAAATTGCTTGATAGAAGAAAGGTGCTCGTCATCAATGAATTATCTCGATGTTCAAGCATCTGATGCCGTCACGATGCCACCTGTTGCATTTGGTTTGTTGGTGGCTTTGCTTGCAGTAACTTCAGGTTTGATCAAAGGCTCAATTAGGTCTATGGCAAAAGGAAACAGTCACAAGTGTTTTTTAATCTTTTGTAACACAGTTAAAAACAAACAAGAGAATGAAAAAGGAAATTGAAAATTAGAGTAAACACGGTCGTTTTATAATTTAGACATAAAGCGGTGAAACGCTGTATCAAGACAGTCATTGCCATATATATACAATGTGTTCTTTGCTTTGAATTTAATGAATGAAACATTTTCATGGATGGCAATCCCCTCTCTGCATGGTATTCCTTTGTAGTTTTTACAGTGATTCCATTACAGTTGAGTCTAAGTTTGAAGTTTGAGCGGTTGCCCTACAGATTTCTTGTTGTCTGGGACTGAGTTTGTCATCCAAAGAGGACAGGTTCTTATTCTTACAATCTTTGTATTTGCCTGGCCATTCTGTTTTCTTCAGAACTCGTCCTTGCTGAGAATTATTATTTGTATGATTTTATCTTGATTCCACGAAATTTGTTTATCAGTGTGGGTTTTTGGTTCCCTTAAAACTTCCCTCGGACAGAACCAGATTACAGATTTGCAGTCCTTTTGGAATGTCATGGGCAGTCAATTGCTTCACCAGATCATTGAAAAAGTCTTCGACGGCCCAAATGGCTCTAGTAAAAATATTATATAAAATTATAATTTTATAATTATAATATAATATTTAATAAATATGACGTGATATTAAATAAATAAATATATTTAAATTAAATGTTAATTTTGATTCCTCAATTGTACAAGTTTATATTTTTTTAATTTTTTAATTATTTTTTTACACTTTTTTAATCTTTTAATTATTTTTTATATCTTTTTAATCTTTTAACGCTAAGAATTACACAATTTTAATCTTTTATCAGTTAAGTGACACTTAACTGTTAAAATATTTCAGAATGGTATATTTTTCATGACATGTAATAACACATCATATAATTAGTTTATGTGGACGTTAAAATGCCAAATCACATTCCACAACATTAAACAATTTATAAATTAAAAGACAAAAATATAATTTTACCCCCCACTTTCATCTTCTTCGTGTTCGCGTTCATGGTTCTCTTTCTCACTCTGTTCATCTTCCCTTCTCCTTTATCGTTGTTTATCTCCTCTCCCCTTTTCATTTCCCTATCACTTGAGCCCTTCTTTCTCGTCTCTCTTCGAAAAGAAGGCCATTTTATTTCTCTTCTCATATTGCTACCAATAACAATAATAAATTTGACAGCCTAGTGCTACAACACATCTAAGAAAAAAAAA